ATACGAAGGCAGTGGAGAACATGGAAGAAAAAAAAAGTAATATGGAAGAAATGATGAACAAAAAATTGTACTTCAAACTAGTTTTCGCACAACACTCCTCAGGAAGCTACGTTGTACTAATGAAAAACAATCCACTCTTTTTTTGAATTCAATAAAAGCCTTTGTGAAAATGTCGGTTCAGCTCGTTCTGTGGATCGCAATTCTAAAACTATTGTCGCCTCGACGCCTATAAAAAAATAAATAATAGTAGTAGAAAGAAAAAGGACATATGGAAACGAGTTAAGAGTAACTCTCCACCACTGTAACTAGATACTATATACAGTCAGAAAGTGCAACAACTAGGCACAAAACTGACAGAGTACTGAGACATTCGACGTCCTGACACCTAGCTTCAACACATCTTCGTAGCGCTAACCGACAGCCTTCCAACTTGGAAGGTTCAAGGTTATGGAAAGACCAAAGAGGGGAAGGCAAGCGCAACGAAAACGAGCACAAGCTACAGTCCCAACGGAACAAAGAATGTCGATTGTCACTGGACGATGACGAGACCAGTAGGCGATTTGACAAAGTGGTCTAACTACAATTCGAAGCAGCAAAGCAGCACACCACCCAACTTGGGTGGGTCAAAAATATCAAAGATAAGTTAAGAAGGGGGAAGCTTTGCGAGAACGAATTGTACAAGCCGAAATCTAAAATCCGACAGTACTCCTCATGCATGACATTGTGATGGACAGCCATATTGCGATGAAGAAGGCATTTGATTTAGATAGAATGACCCCAACTGCATTAGTTTTACAACGGTGTCATCTGTATTCGTTTGAGCAACGAGTTAAGTTGAAACTATACGTTTTGGTCTATCGCTGCTTGTCATCAATTACTAGCCCCCTCCTTCAGTCACTGTTTCTCCTGCGTTCAGTTGGCCCGCACACAAATGCTCGTACTCGTGGCCACGATACAGCTGCCTTAGTATTACCTGCTGTACATATTGGGTATGGACTGCGCTCAGTTTCTTTTCTGGTGGCAGGTCGGTGGAACACTCTTCCTCCAAACTGTCGTCAGGCACAATCTGCTGGTACTTTTGCTCACCTCACAAAGATTCACCTAGGGTTCCCTGTAACAAGGCCATGCCTGTTGGGACTCCCCTAGTCAAATAATAAATACTACTACTACTACTACTACTACTGGACTAGTTGACTACAAAACAAGTTGTTTCACACGACGTACGTTTCGTCGTATGCTTCGTGACGGCTCATCAGGTGTGCAATTTGAAACTCGGTAATTGAGCGAATAATAAAAGTAGAAAGGAAAAGGACATATGGAAACGAGTTAAGAGTAACTCTCCACCACTGTAACTAGATACTATATACAGTCAGAAAGTGAAACAACTAGGCACAAAACTGACACAGTACTGAGATATTCGACGTCCTGACACCTAGCTTCAACACATCTTCGTAGCGCTAACCGACAGCCTTCCAACTTGGAAGGTTCAAGGTTATGGAAAGACCAAAGAGGGGAAGGCAAGCGCAACGAAAACGAGCACAAGCTGCAGTCCCAACGGAACAAAGAATGTCGATTGTCACTGGACGATGACGAGATGAGTAGGCGATTTGACAAAGCGGTCTAACTACAATTCGAAGCAGCAAAGCAGCACACCACCCAACTTGGGTGGGTCAAAAATATCAAAGATAAGTTAAGAAGGGGGAAGCTTTGCGAGAACGAATTGTACAAGCCGAAATCTAAACTCCTACAGGACTCCTCATGCATGACATTGTGATGGACTAGTTGAATACAAAACAAGTTGTTTCACACGACGTACGTTTCGCCGTATGGTTCGTGACGGCTCATCAGGTGTGCAATTTGAAACTCGGGTATTGAGCCAATAATAAAAGTAGAAAGGAAAAGGACATATGGAAACGAGTTAAGAGTAACTCTCCACCACTATAACTAGATACTACATACAGTCAGAAAGTGCAACAACTAGGCACAAAACTGCTTTGTCAAATCGCCTACTGGTCTCGTCATCGTCCAGTGACAATCGACATTCGTTGTTCCGTTGGGACTGTAGCTTGTGCTCATTTTCGTTGCGCTGCATTCCCCTCTTTGGTCTTTCCATAACCTTGAACCTTGTTCGAAAACTTGTTCGATTTATTTTTCTTTCCATCGCATTTTTCTTCTTGCATGTATTTTCCTTACCCTTTAGATTGCGTTTGCATTGCCTCCATCGCTTACATTGTGTAATAAAGTAATCCAAATGTCACTTCAACCCGTCCTACTTATTGCCATATTAAAATTGTTGTCTCCTCGTCGAATATGAAAATAATAATAATAATAAATACATGTAGAAAGGAAACGGACATATGGATACGAGTTAAGAGCAACTCTCCATCACTGTAACCATATACTATATACAGACCCAACGGAAACAAGAATGTCGATTGTTACTGAATGATGACAAAACCAGTAGGATATTTAGGAAAGCTTTCCCCCTCTTTCCTTATCTTTGATATTTATGACCCACCCAAGTTGAATGGTATGCTGCTTTGCTGCTTCGAATTGTAGTTAGACCGCTTTGCAAAATATCCTATTGGTCTCGTCATCGTCCAGTAACAATCCACATTCTTTGCTACGTTTGGAGGGTAGCTTGTGCTCGAATTCGTTACGCATTCCTTCCCCTCTTTGGTCTTTCCATAAGCTTGAACCTCCCAAGTTGGAAAGCTGTCGGTTAGCGCTACGAAGATGTGTTGAAGCTAGGTGTCAGGACGTCGAATGTCTCAGTACTCTGTCAGTTTTGTACCTAGTTGTTGCACTTTCTGACTGTATGTGAGCCTCTTGATTAGGGTCCAGCGGATAATGCTAGGAAAATGTTCGTATAATGCTAATGATAATGCTCCAAAAACTACCTTCTAATGCTGATTATAATGCTTCAGCAAGGGCTATAATGCTCTTGGTTTGGAACCAAAATGGAAGAAACGCTAAACATTGTCATACTCTAAGGAAATGATGCATGTAGTCGATCTGCCTCTGACACTGCTGCAAAATCTCTCACGAGCTCCATCCCTTCTTAGCACTTTAAGACAGGATCCCGTCTCCATTGGCTGCTCTCCATTGCAACTTTGATGCAGGGCTGTGCCTGAATAGTGGGTGTATCAAATATTTTCCCTTACGTATCCATGTAGTGAGAGGTGAAACAATTAGTATAGGTGATCACTGAGATGAAGTTTATCTTAGCAAATAGTATTCCCGCCTGCATACAAGCAGTCACTGCTTCCACTCTGTGTATATTGTCTTCACCTGAAACAGCTCACTCGAGGCCAGTTCCTGAGAGACGATCTCAGATCGAGATCCCTCCCATTTGCGGAAATCTAGAAAACTTGTTGTCAGACGTTATTTTGCCGCTCTACATCCTCTGCCTGCGCTGTTTTCTTCTCCTGAGGTTGCGTGGAGACAAATGGTTGGCCACAATGCTCTTCTTTCTGATAGAATGTGACTATAGGCCTTGCATTACCACCGTCTACGACAAACTGTACGTGCTTCACGGGGAAAGTAAGACGCGCTGCTTAATTCTCTAATCGACTTGGTACTTTGTCCATGAGAAATTCTCAGTACCAGTAGTTCTTTTCGAGCCTGCTGAGCTGGACTCGGCAAAGGCAGTTATTTGGAACAAGCTCTTTCTGTTTATAGCCCCTCTATCATCCAGGTCCAAATTTATCAATGGATCAGTGTTCAGTATTACTAGAGATGCTATGGCCAAAGCCTATGGCATAACAGGAAAACTCCTCTTCGTCTGTTTGATATTCACGTCGCGTAGATCTACGTCAAGTCTCCTCCATGGTTCTCCATGATTTCTAAAAAATACTCCTCGTAAATCATCGTTACGGAGTTTGTGTAACAGCCTCAGTAGCAACGTTGGGCATGCTACATCACCTGTACATTAACCTGACTACATTGCTACATAAAGATTTTATGAAGCAATGGTATTATGTAGTCAGATAAATGTAGCATCAGTGCTAAAGGTGTTACGTGTGTACACAATCAAAAATTCATGTGCGATACAATATTTGGCGTTGCCCCTTGTGGCTATAGCCGATTGTTGCCAAAACCGGAGATTTCCCGACATTATTTACAATAAATCTCTTTATGTCGCTTAAACCTCACATAATGCTCGTCTTGTTCCTTTCTAATGCTGCACAATGCTCTGATGCTCGGATAGTCTCCGAATGTCGAATATAATGCCGGCATTATCCGCTGGACCCTACGTCTAGATCCGAAAAGGGGGCTTATGTCGTTTTGCTCGGTACTGAGAAAAATGCATTTGAAAGTTGAGTTTTCCGCATTAAGCGATGTATAATTCACTTTTGAAACATTCATAACTCTGTGAAAGATAACGATTTTAGACCTAGGTTTTTTACAAAGTGATCTGCTGGGGTACAGCAATGTCATGGTATAGATAACTCAACAGGTTCAAAAATGACGTAAGCCCCCTTTTTGGATCTAGAGGATCACTTATAGTATCTGGTTACAGTGATGGAGAGTTACTCTTAACTGGTATCCATAATTATATCCTTTTCCTTTTTACATTTATTATTGGCTCAACATCTGAGTTTCAAATAATAAAAAAATAAATAAAATAGTACTTCGAAGTATAAGACTCGCTCTGAACCACGATATGCGGACCATGGAAGTCTAAAAAGCAACCAATCATATTTGAAACTATCCTCAGCCAGATACTGTTTTCCCATGGATATCGAGGCCAAACGGAGGGTGCCTGCAGTTCATCCAATATGCAAACAGCTCTGGAAAGGATGAGGATCAAAATTTAAAGATATTTGTTTGGGTTGGATTCCGAGTAACAACACTATCCCGCTTGTTGATCCTGAAACTGCTGCTAGGTCCAGTATGGCGTGCGCGAAGGGTAATTCCCACCTTAACAATGGGCGAAAAAGTAAATGAAGTTATGAGTTAAAAATGGCGAGCGCAATGTTTGATCGTTCATCACTTACGTTCACAGGTTGGCAATGGTGTATAACCGTTTTGGGTGCAATTAACAGTCTTACTGCCGTTGAGCTTGTAACCTAAATCGCATTTAACTGTGTGGAATGGTGAAGTTCCAAGTATAGATCCGCCATTCACAGTTATGTTGCATGCGGGGATTCCTGAAGACCAATAGACAGGGAATGGAAATTGCATATAGACACACTCTGGTCTATGATGTGAGGCCGACAAAAGTCCTAATGCTAGTAATAGCACACATTCCGAAGATTGAGTGCGACTATTACCAACGCAGTACTAGCGACTTCAATCACATGACCGAAAGGCATAAATATTTAGTTGCATGAATTTATGGTGCAAGTATACCATGTAGTGAATAATTTCCCTCGACGTTCTGCGCCTGCCTACGCGTTATTCATGTGGCCAACGCCGTCGACTTTTACACGATGGCTAAGAGCAGATTCCCACTACGGTACCGTGAGTGCCGTGCCGTGAGTACCCATGGTGATTTGCTCACGTGAGGGGCGGTTTTGGCGCGAGTTCATTCCGTGGCTCCTGCCGCACCGCGCCGTGGACATTCCGGTGCCGAGAGCCTCTGGGGGGGGGGGGGGGGGTGGAAATGGCATACCGTGGTATTCCGCGAGGTCGAATGCAGTGAGTAGTAGGTATTTTACTACTCCCTGAAAGGAAGTTTTTTCTTTCTTTTGTATTTGTGGAACGAAGTTTTTTCTTGGCTTTTGGCTTTTCGATTGGTTGATTCTTGAGCTTTCTCCAGTCATCTCCCAGGCCCCCGCTATTTTCCCTCAAAGTCAGAAATTGATTAAAAAAATGGTGATCCGGCCTGCCGACGGAATGACTGTGCGCAGATGTAAATCACTCTCAGCGTCAAGCTCGTACCGTGGGGTACACGTGACCTACCCAAACCGTCGGCTCGGCACTCACGGTACCGTAGTGGGGATCGGCCCTAACGGTGTGTCGCATGTCATGAGTAATCGATTTTATATATTTTTTTATATCGCTACGTATTTCTAGTTTTCAATGCAAATTGTCGGCATCTCAGCTACTTTGCCCGTCAATAACGGACTCATAATCGTTTTCAAAGTCCATGAATTCGTTTAGATAGGTTCATGGTAAGGTTCTTCTCCGTGGCAGTTTTAGCATTTGAAGAATTTGTGCGCAGCGGCTGAAGTCGGCTATGGTGTGCACGATTTTAGGGTCTCTGTGTGACGGAGCGAGCCGACGTTCGGCTTGTAATTCCGCCACTTTTCTTCAGGTCAGAATTCTGAAGGGGCTTGAGCAGGAGATGATTATTTCAATCCAACGAAGTAGAGGACATCCCGTCCAACATCAACATGTACGACGGTCTCTCTTCATGAGGTCCCAGAAACCCACGTTCGTGCAATCGCTCTGCATAGAATTGTATTCAGGGCTTCTGACGATTGCATACCTAGTTTGTGACCTCGTAACTCCGGTTTTGGACAAGATATAATAACCATTACAATTTTGTGTGTGTTCAGCAAAGGTTTCACTTATTGGCCCTAATTCCAATCTTAGAATTTTGCTCCACTAATACGCTAGCTCGCCTCATTAAAATCGAAAGCTCGTCGTTATTGGAGTGTATCTGCATCCGTAATATTTCCTGTTGCTATAATTACGTCATTGTCTCCATGTTGATCGTTCATAAGATGTGGAAATTCAGTTTAACTGATTGTCAGGGGAAGAGATAAACAGCATCCTTATGCCAAATCGAAGTTTTATAAATCTCTAAAATGGTATCCAATACTCCTCAAATTCGGTACTTACTGTTGCATGTCGGCAGAGTGGTATGCTGGTTGTTTCCATTACAGGTGACCGTGCTAGGACCAGACAGGTAATATGCTGGGCTACAGGTAATGATGTATACTGGCCCAGCTGCACTTCTTGCACCATTGGGAATATTGAACGAACATGTGTAAGCTGAGACCCAAACAAACAAACAAATAAACAGTTAAACTGTGCTAAACAACATCCTAATCTTGGTTCTCACAATTGACTGTAACTGTTGCATTCTGGTACAAGTTATACTCAGTTCTGAACGGGCGACAAGTGCCTACCGCGCAAGTATACCGTGTATAACCGTGCCAAAGGGTTCGGTTGATAGTCCAAGAACATATCAAATGTGCCAACACATGCCCAGGGTTGAATGCTTCATCTCAATACGAAACACAACAGAGCCATAGATCACATAATCACAACAGTAACATTGATCGCTTGGAAGAACTTTGGCCTTACTCCAGAGCATCATTATCTGAAACGAATAATATAGCGTAGAAGAAGTTGAATGATGACGATCTGGTTTCAAACCAAGCCGAGCTGTTCAGTGCCAAACCTGTGCATTGTTCGGACCTACCCACAACGAAGATTTCGTTCATTATCATGCTATGCAGAACGATGCTGATTTTCTATGCAGAGGTGTTATATTTTCACTCAACAATATGCGATCTCTCACCAGGCAATCAAAAAGATGCGAAATATGGTCGTCTTTCCTGGCCAACAGTGCAATTTTTTATAATTTGTAGTAGATATTCTCTGTCTGTTCAGATTTACTGCAGTGGGCAAGAAAGTACCGCTCCCTATTCAATAACCTGTGTTTCGGGGAATTAACCCCTCATCAATTGAGCTTGAGTAGGCTGAGGAAGATTGTGCCTGAAGAGCACCACCTATATAGTGCTCTCTAGGCACAAACATCGCCAGGGATACAAACTTACAGAGACGCTCCGTTTCCAGCGCGACAGACACTTTTCTTACAAATCATCGCCGAAGTCGCAACCACTATTTCGTACTGCTGTGCCCAGCGCGGGCTTTTGACTAGTTGGTTTGGAGTTGACAGCGTTGGGAATGACCGAGCGTCCTCGACGTCTGTTCTCACTGTCCAGGAGCGACACTGACTCACGCTGTTATCTGGTGTTCACGAGGTGTTTGTTTGCTCTGGATGGCAGTCGTGAGTCAGTCAAGTGTCAAGTCAAGACGGCGGAATAGCGCGAGCTCCAGTGTGGGGAAGAAACCTTTTCTTACAAATCATCACCCAAGCCTCTACCACTATTGTACTATGTCTGAAATTTGTGCTATTTTTCTTACTATTCTTGTAGCCTCGTTTTTTAAACTCCAAGTGTATAGGTACTATCGTAGATGGATCCTTCCCTCGAGTCACGAATTCCAGTGATAAATGTGACAAGAAAACGTTCTGGAATATCTGTTGCTATGGTTGTGATATGAGGGCGCATAATTATAGTTTTACTCATTTCATTGGCAAGATCATGTCTTTACGTCGCCGTTTTGAACTAAGAGAGCATGTTTGAGAAAACCAGAACATTTTGTTCAAGTCCATCTGTCCAAATTCGCTTAACGTGTGCAGGTAACGGAAACGTACCTAAGTTTCCGTTGGGGTATAGATCGACTGTGCAAAGAGCCTTGATCAATCGACAATCCCACGTGCATTTACATGGATCGCCCGTTGATCGAGATTGGATCAAGTGCGTCGTGCCCAGCTCACGTCACGACTCACGAGCATGCTGGTCATGTTGTTGGCCTTCCACTACTTCCAGCCGGGATATTCCCTCAACATGCAGCACAGACTACACACAGGGGTAGGGGGGAGTGGTAGGGACCATAAGCAAGCCGTCAAAGCAACGCAAAGGGGGAGCTGGGTTAGAGTCCCGTTGTGACATCGCGAAACATTCTCGTGTTCGGAGGGGTCTACTTGTCATGACCGCAACGAGTGGGAATTAGTTCAGAGAGCATGTCTGAGAAAACCAGAACATATGTGCAAGTCGGTCTCTCAGATTTCGCTCAAATTTTGCAGGTCGGTTTGCTTTGGGGTGTAGGGTTGTCACCCCAAACGACAAGCTTCTCCTTCCGCCACCAACATTTTTCGGTACAACAGTTGATGCAAAAGTGACTGAATTTTTGCGTGCAGTTTTTGGATTTTACTGATCGACTTGCACATAAATTCTGGTTTTCTCAGACATGCTCTCTTAAGTACGTTCGATTTCAACCATGGCACGAAAATAGCACCGGAAATCGTGCCTCTTTTTGTCTTTTCGATTTTTCTCAAATTTCGAAAATGCGTCCTCCATTCTTGTTGGAAAAATTTGATGGAAAAACGTACCAAACAACAAGTAGGACCATTGACTTTGGCATAACCATCACTAACATGACACACAACAGGATCGAGGGTAACCACAGTGCCAAAATATGGACTTTTTCAAGACAACTTTCAGCTTCCTCGCTCGTTTCTTGTCTACGGCTCCGAAACGTACAATTTTTTCTAATATTCTGAACTGACTGGCTCCATTGTAAAGTCATTCGGAGAATCTTTTGGCATGTACCTCGTGAATATATCCCTTTACTGCACCCATCCATCGGCGAGGTGGCTGTTATTGGGTTTCTCTCAGCGGCATTCCGGTAAAAGTCAGTTAGGCTGAGGATTGTTCTCAAGGAAAAGTTCGCAAAAACCGGTGCCAGTAAAAAATATCAGAAAACGGTGTGAAACCGGAAAGCAGCCGACTCGCATAGACGGGTTGTGAACGCGAGAAGCTGATCCTAAATCACTCGGTGTTTCACGCCGGTTCCGATGAACTCGTTCCCGTTGACGTTTCACGGCTTGCTAATGGACATACTGAATGCAACTAGTGTAGGCCGTGCGCTGGTCAACTCCAAGCTCGTCGGTCATTCCTTGCTGTTGCAGATCTACATCGAGCATCAACAAGTAAACTTTTTTTTTTTTAATTTCGGCCAGTCTGCTACTATCATTTCGTCTTGGGGGTTAGACTTGAAGAGGGAAACATCCCCGACACAAGTTGTTTCACAGAACACATATTTTCGGTTTTTGACACTGCCAAAAATAAGTCTGTACACATTACCAGACAGATATAATGTACAAACTGGGCTTGCATGCTTTTTCATGTACAACATACAACTTGTTCATAATTTTGAAGTACACAGCATGTTCCATATAATAATTCATCAATATTGGAATTCAAGCCCACATTATTACACATATGTCATAAAAGAATTGCAGCACTTCCAAATTAAGAACTTCCAATGCTCTTGGGGCCCCTAGCATTTTGGCGGCCTACTTGTATCTATGTATAATTTAGTGCCACTCTCGCCTGCATAAATTCTGTTGTGTTTTTACATTTCTCTTCACTCTGATGAGCTGCCTTAGACAGCGAAAACGGTCAGTCCTTTAAAAAGATTTGTAAAACCGAAAATATGTGTTCTGTGAAACAACTTGTGTCGGGGATGTTTCCCTCTTCAAAACATGTAGGGGCGTTAGCCCGCCTTTCGGCACCGGAAGTTGCAGCTCGCTCGACTTGACTATACTGAGTTCAGAGGACCCACACCTTGATCTGGTGAGCTGCGTCGTGGGGATTTTGCAGTCAGATGTGCGACTGCGGGGCTCGAACCCGCAACCTCTCGGGTCGCAGGCAAGTGCAGTACTCAATTATAGCAATAAAAACTGCTTTATGGCAGTTTTCTAAAAAAAGTTATTGTGTTCTAGTCCATGGACCCCGTCTAAAAAGTAAGAAATTAACGAAATGTGATAGCCGAAAATTAAAATTTCACACAAAACCTCACAATAATCACGACACTTGAAGATCTAATAGTACGGCTTTCAACACTTGTTTATTCTGACACTTGTACTTGTACACGTACAATGTACTGCGCCAACATGCTTGCATGTGAAAGAGGACCACGAGGGGAAAAGGTCGTCTCGCATCCTGTGTGTGATTATTGTGAGGTTTTGTGTGAAATTTTAATTTTCGGCTATCACATTTCGTTAATTTCTTACTTTTTAGACGGGGTCCATGGACTAGAACACAATAACTTTTTTTAGAAAACTGCCATAAAGCAGTTTTTATTGCTATAATTTCTTTTGTTTTTTTGGCTATTAAAAGGATATTATTATTATTATTTTATTTATTTTACTAGGGTGTTTCCCACAGACCTATGGTCTTCTTACGGGAGCCCATATGTACATGTACATGTACGTGTATCATTATCAAATTCAATACCGTATTTATACGCATTGATGTGCAAGCCTTTTCTTGCAGAAAATGGAACTAGTCTTGCGTACATGTACACTGTATTCAGGTTCTTCTGCCGGGGAATCATATGGGTAGTGCAGTGGCGGTGATGCCTTTTTATACGCAGGTCATTCTGTGGATGTTGCAGAATTTCATGACTGTCATAAAATTGTCTTGTCTTTCAGAAAATTCAGATGTCCACACCCTAAATCACATTTACATGAGAATTGTAACCAGGTGCGTGCCGCAGATGTTTTTGTTGATTCTGTGTTTATAATTGTTGTCATGGGTTGTCGTGATAAGGTCATCTGGCATCATATTGTAGTGAAATCGTAATCCTGTTGATGTCGATAAAACTTTTGGAAGCAGTTCAATGACTTCAAAGTGTTACAAGTCCACGATTGTCTAAAACAACACAGCAAAGTAGGAACAATAAACATGTATTAAAATGTAAACAAATACATTGCTGAGTCCGACACCTCGTTCCAACAACTACACTGATCCTGAGGATATAAGGGGCAAGGATATCTGGTTGGAGGTACTGAGAGATAAACAAGGCATTCCATAATAATAACATGTTACACGACTTTGGGGGAGTATGAATGATATCCAGTCAAACCTCTTTAGGACGAACATCAAGGGACCGATGGCATTTGCTCTGTGAGTTTGTCTTAACCCTATTTTATAACGAGCGAATACAATTATTTCTCCAATAGAGACACGAATAGATTTCTTCTACAGCGAAAGGGTTCTAAGCCAGACCAAACCATTGACTCGTCTTTTATGAAACAAATGAGTCACTGAACCTTTCTTTAGCAACATGACGGCAACTGAAACAACAACAGAGAAAATACGATACATGTACAGCACATTCTTGCAGGTACAACAAACAGATTGCAGATCGTAATTCTTGCTCTACCGGCACGCACCTTTATTTGGGGAAGTGCAATCTCGCCGCTACTCACAAATCAAACAGCCCAGGCTCGAGTAAACAAATCCAATGGTACGAGATTTTCACGAGACGAGACTGCACCCATTGGCTTGTTTCGTATGAAGCAAACAAGTCACTGAATGCATGAACCTCTCCATAATGGAGATTTTCCCTGATACGCGAATTTATTTTGCATACTAGTACTCGGCCAATGCGTCCTTGAACCTTCCCCTACAGATTGGGAACTGCCAACGATGCTATGCCACTGCAAAATTCAGATTCTACCCTATGATCGGGGCACGGAATGCCGGAAGCAATCATGACCAGTGCCTTACTTGTAACGTACCAATGTACAATGAACATGAGTATTTCGACAACACATCTAAGCCTCAGCAGCAACATACAATGTAAGCCTTACCGTCAAGAAGGTTGTTGTTGTTTATTTTACTTCAAGGTGAACTCGCGTTCTTCGCACACTGTTGGCAAGGGCAAAGAGATAGGAATGGATCTAAATCCGAATAAAATCAGCACACGTTTCCGTAAATGAAAGGGTGAGCATAAGCAAATGAATCGAAGGAAACTGGTCAACTCAGAGATCACCTGTCATTGAGTATTCCGCAAAAGGAGGCCTCGACAGCAGAAAAGCTAAATTTAGAAAAGATATCCTGTCAGCTTTTCCATTATTTATTGTATTCCACCTAAAATCAGCACACTTTTCGTAAATGAAAGAGTCAACACAAGCAAATGAATCAAAGGGAACTGGTCAACTCACCTCTCATTGAGTAATATTCCGTGGAAAGAGGTCCCGAAGCGAAATAAGCCAGGACACGAAATATCCGAAACAGCTCATGCAAGAAACAGTTCCAAAGAAGGTAGGGCCTCGCGCATGCACATCCGAAAACGAACTGCACTGCATGCATGCAACACAATGTCTGCCGTGCACGTGCACAGCACGCGGCTACCACCCGTTGGTAGATCTAATAGTACCGAGCACCTTACGTAGAAACTTACGTAGCCTAAGTGAAGTACCGAGCACCTTACGTAGAAACTTACGTAGCATAGCGGTGTCGTTTTTTCTGCCATGTGAACACAATAATAGAAAAGCTGACAGGATCGCTTTTCTAAATGTACTACCGGGGAGCCCTGAAGTAAACTTGAACCAAGGTCGTGATGAGCGAGGTTAGTGTGAAAAAAATGCATACCTGTTCTTACTGCAAGAGGAAACATCTCAAAGAATTCTTGCCAATGCAATAGGGCTAGCGCTACAACGATAGTTTCTGCAGGTTCGGAGCAGAGCATGCAGGAAGTATAATGCGTCTTGCCTTCTCCGTCATGGTCCGTTCCGAATAGCGCCTCGGGAACGATCCTGATCGTGTGCAGGCATTGCGTCGTGAACCAGAAAGCATTTTTCACGTCGCGACCCACGTGATTTAATTGTTCCTTTTGCCATAAAATTCAAAAACTTACACGCAAAAATTCAGTCACTTTTGCATCAAATGTTGCACCGAAAAATGTTAGTGGCGAAAGGAGAATCTTGTCGTTTGGAGTGACAAGTGCTCACCGCTGCTTTTCCTTGTCAGAGTCACCAATACACTTTGTTCTGCAGCGTTGGGAGTGGTGTTGGAGTAGTAATTGCTGATTACACGTCGAGGAAGGCGAGCTTTCCTGCTCAGATATGAGTTTGGACGTATTTTTGAGCCTGGTCTAGTGGAAAAATTCAAAATTGTCTTTTTCAAGAAAAACCCAAGGGGATGATAGGGGACATGTCCTCAGTGCTAGAAGAGGTGTCCAACTATCTGCAGGTGTATATAATTTGCTAATCGAGGACTTAGCTCGCTGTTATATCAGCGCTTGTTATTTGGCCATGTTATTGTTTTTAGCATTTGACCCCACCATTTTTGTTGATCGCTGGCGGTCAAACATGACGCTGTATTTGACTCCTTATATTTGACGACTGAGGCATCATAATCGTTCGACTTTCGATGGTCTTACTTCGAAGTAGAAATTTTTTCTCCACTTCAAGAAGAAAATTTGAAAGAAATAGGACAAATTAGATGAAGCCAGATGCGAACCTTTACCAGCATGTATCTCAAGCAACCCCATCTACCACCCAGCCATTGTGCTGCAGATGCTGAACCTTCTTGTTGCCACCGCCTTGAACCTAACATTTCCACCTTACCGTGTATACTATTGTATATTATGTTATACTGAAGGGTTAGAGTAGCCCCTAAAGGATCAGTGTATATATTTCATATAATTATGAGCCTCTAGATCCGAACAGGAGACTTATGTCGTTTCGCCCAGTACTGAGAAACAAGCATTTCAAAGATGAGTTTTCCGCATAAAACGCTGTATAATTCGCTCAGTGAAACACCGATGACACTCCGAAAGATGAAGAATTTGTACCTACCCGTAGGTTTTGTACGGAGTGATCTGCTGGGATACAGCAATATCATAGTTTAGCTAACTAAAGATGTTCAGAAATGACATCAGCCCCCTTTTGGGATCTAGGGGCTCAAATTATTGTTTACTATTACTTGGTAGAATGTACTTCGAAGTACCTGTCTGCGAGTAAGAGGTTACATTTATGTATTCATGTGTATCCAATACTGTAGACAGCAAGCTGTTTCGGCCATAAAGGCCTCATCAGTGAAGCTACGAGCTAAAGAGGCCGAGCTACCAGCCATGGTGCAAAGGAGGCACCACAGACATTTTAGGTAGCTCGTCGCTCTAGCGCCAGAGTGCTCAAACTACAAAAAGTAGCGGGCATTGCGCGATGCAGCAGCACTAGACCAGCCTACTGAGAGTGCTCAACAAGGCGAAAGCCGAGGAGCGTGATACCCAATGCTGTAGACAGCAAGCGGTTTCGGCCATAAAGGCCTCATCAGTACAGCTACGAGCTAAATAGGCCGAGCTACCAGCCATGGTGCAAAGGAGGCACCACAGACATTATGTGTATTAATGTGTATCTATTGGTATTCTCTATTTCTTCCAAAGGCAACTGCTGTTTACTGTTGTTTCTTGCTATCGTACAATGCATGATAACCTAGGCAAAGATTATAGCGAGGGCTCTGGGCTTTTATTACCTTGGTGGCCTGTTAGTCATAACTCATACTCGTAACCTATCGGTCCTTTTCTTTTTAGATATCCACATGAATCCATACATCCTGTACACACACCTTGTACACACTCTCTCTCCAACGGTCTCTAGGCTACACTGCAATTGATATACATTAGATCAAATTTTCGGGCAAGGCCCATCATCAGGAATAAGACTTATTCCTGATGATGGGCCTTGCCCGAAAATTTAATCTAATGTATATCAACTGCAGTGTAGCCTAGAGACCGTTAGAGAGAGAGAGACTGTGTACAAGGTGTGTGAACAGGATGTATGGATTCAAGTATTGACTACAGTGGAGTCTCCAAACCTTGAGAAAAGATATCCACATGAGTCTACTTATTCGGCCACTAAAGACATCTATCTACCTACCTGTGCAAGACGGCCCAACTGATGAGTCTGATAACCATGAGCCGTCCATCTTACATTTGTATTGAAACGGTCCCGAATGTTGATATCCAGAGTTGCACAAGAAATATATTCCGGCCGGGAATACTCTAGTAGATGGATACAAGACTTTTCCATTCGGAAGTTGTACGTCAGCCATACATTTTGTGTTTCCTGGAGAAGCTGATAATGGAAGTATAAAATTGAACAATATCGTCCCATTTCGCTGTTGCAAACATATAGGTTCGTTGTACAATGTTTACATATTGCTACTTCGGGCTATCTAGTTCACGCGTGAATAATGTGGGGACAGTAAGAGCGGTGATCCACCATCCCGTGTCATCTTTTCGAAAAAGATATCAACAGCTAAGCCAAGCAAAAGCGTCTGCGCTGAAAATCGAGGACAGAATGGAGGTGTTACCCAAGGCGAATGCCTTCATCATAATTATTTTAACGATCACAAAGACCGGTTCTACGAAGAAATCAACAGCAAAGCCAAGCAACTAGCTTCTGCGCTGAAAATCGACCGAATGTGCTACCCAAGGTGAATCCCTTCATCACATAGAAGGATCACGACAGCCAATTTGCATGCGTTGCTCACAAATCAACTACTGACCAGCTCTTCCTCCTCACCCACAGAAGGGCTTCGTCTTTCGACGATAGAATAAATTATAACTGTGCCTTTTTGGACTTCAAAAGGCGTTTGACAAAGTTGGCCACTTCACTCTTATTGAACGTATTCAGCGCTTTTCTTCTCAACAAAAGGTGCAATGGTTTAAAAGTCTCGAGAAGCGCTCGTTTAAGGTTCTTCTCGATTCAGCATTATCATCCAGTAGCTGTATAAATAGCGGGGTAACCCAGGGCCCTCACCTGGCACCCCTCCTCTTTATTCTTTACAATGACCTCCCTACAACCATCCAACGCAGTAACCCATACCTCTTTACTGACGACGTCACATTGCTCTACGAGCACTTCTCCATCTCCGAAGCAGAAAATCTGCAACAAGTGCAGAAGGACCTGACCAGATGCCAAACGGGGGCAAAGAGTGTTACAAGGCCGATTTGCGGCTGCGAAAATGTCGGTCATCTCCAACTATGACCTGCAAGAAACCTCAGTCATCACAATGGACAGTGAATCAACTATTCAGCGCTTGCGGGGGTCGGTTTGACCTTTGCCTGCTGCGACTTTGCTCCGACTTTGTGGCTGCTCTGGTGAGCGGGGGAGACTTGCGAGGCTGCCGAGCTGCTTAGCTGCTTGGTTGCAATTTTCATCTTCCATTCTTTCGTGAATCGTGAGTCGGTGTGAATTTGTATCTCTCCTCTCTCTCCTTCCATTTCTTTCGTGAGTCGGTGTGGAGGTTATCTCTCCGCGCTCTCCTTCCGTTCTTCCGTGAGTCGATGTAGATTTTTATCTCTCCGCTCTCTCCGCTCCGCTCATAGCTCTGTCGCGCTCCATTGCTTGATAGACTCATGGCTTCTCCTTCTTTGGCCGGTATCGTTCTGGGTTTAGGAGTCGGTTTGGGTTTTCTTTTATCGACCCGTTCCGCTCATCGCTCTGCCGTGCTCCTTTCCGCATGGTTCGGCACGGTGGGGCTTGGCTGTGTGCCATTCTAGCCGCTTCACCATTACTTTGTTCCTATCCTCACTGCACCATCTAACATCTCACATACCAGCCTCGGCTGCCGTTCTGTCGCTGTTCTTCTGCCGTTCCTGTTGTTGCTCCGGCGTCGTGCACTGCTCAGCGCTCGTGTGTGGCGACTTCATACAGTTTGTAACTGACTACCACGGTTCATAGTAGTTTCTCCAATGATACTCGGTTTCTAGACCTTGCGAGTGTTGTTGTGTTAGAGTGGGGAGGCACGTCATGGTTTGCTGTTCCTGTGCAAAGACTAGAAAATGCGTGCGTTGCTTGTGTGTATCCAATGGCAATCCATGCTGGGATTGTTGCCCTGGACGAGAAGGCCAGTGCGCAAACCGTGTGCCAGGGTCACATAAAGCCCGTTTTCAACGAGGTGCTAGTACACGGACTCAGTCCGCTACATGGTGCTCGGGGTGGTAATGCCGACCCTGGAGATGCAGGTGCTAATACTACCGGTAGCACGGCACGGTATTTGCGCTCTCAGGCATCTGCAGTTGAGCCTGCTGAGGCCGGTGAGGGAGCTGGGTCTGCGGATCGTGCTTTTGTTCATCACCGCATTTCTGTGCCGGTGATCTCCAGTGACCCTCAGGTTGTCCGTTCGGATGATGTTGTGACGCACAGCCAATTGAAACTCCGTTTCCTTATGCACCGTGTCCACACCAGCAGCATCAGCCCTCTTCTGAAAGATATAGTAGCCCTCCAACCTCCCAGTAACACCCATGGCAATGACAACTGCAAATACGTTGTTCCGCTAACTCGGCGAACATCTGGCTCAAGCTGACCATTGGTTTCCGCCGTGAAGCTTTGGAACACCCTGCCACAGGAACTCACGGCCACTCGTCGTCCAACCCCGTTTAAAAGATAGCTGAAAGTGTTTTTTCTACTGTTAAAGGGAAACTGACCGCCAAAAATATATATGGCGTATCCGAAGGAGAATTGGCCACTGATTCCGATGAGCTATGTCTCTAGCCGATCAGAGAAGAGGAACCGTGTCAAATTTCCTAAATAACACCTTCTATATTTGGAATTTGGGCTTGATAACGTGCGTACTGCTTAGCTGTCACCATGCTGTGCATGCTCAGCAGTGTAATTGAATGGAAGAAAACAATTACTTTGGTGTTTTGCAGCTCTGTTTCGTTCCCTGACGATAACCAAATCTAGATGTAGGAATCTGTTGAGCAGTAGAGTGACACATGTCTTCCCGAAAGCTGTCCAGGCTGCAGTGGTGATGAAGAAGACACGATCATCACCCCGAGACCGATTGTAGCAAATTGGAAAACTCATGGTGAATTTACTTCCACTCCAAGGCAAGGTCGATGTATGAAGGGTGCTTGTACTGCCTTCCAAAGTGAAGAGGAGATGAACATGGCTTTGCATAGCTGTTCTTCTATGCCAACTTACCTACTCTTGCTGGTACCGTAGTGGCATATTGCAAATTTCGTGGACGAACAACTCTAGTCACTAGTGGCTAGTGAGCAACACTAACAGGTGAGATGATTCAATTCGACAAAAATTGTTTTTGTTTGAGAACTGACAGTGGCAGTCATTAGACTCAGAAGGTGTTTCTCTGCTGCTTCTTTCCCTCCATCGGTAGGGTTGTGATAAAAATGCCACAAAAATGCATTCACAGCACCTTCGCCGTCGGCTAGATTTGTGGCGGGTTGGAAACCTGCATGCGCTCTTTCAGGAGGGCCTCGAATGTCAGGACATTTGGCGCAATCCCGGTGGCCGATCCGGTGGTAGAAAACGCGGCGGTACTGACCAAGCCCGTGAGTTTAGGACTCGCATGGCTACGGGGAGAGTGCATGATGCACTACGTTGCCTCGATGAGGCTATTGCTGGTACTGGACAGCAGGGTGTTTCTACAGATAACGGATGAGATAACGATTGAGGACAACGTTCTGGCTGTGGGCGCGGTACTTCAGAGCAAGCAACTGGACGCAGCGCCCGCGGACAACAGTGCTCTATTGTCCGGGACACTGCCGGTTGTCGGTCCGGTCAGATTTTCTGGAGTCAATGGTCACTTCATCCGGAAAACAGCGATGAATTTAAAGGCGGCCGCGGGTCCATCGGGTATGGATTCCCACTCATGGCATCGGGTGTGCACCGCATTCAAAGGTGCTTCCACAGAGATTTGCGTAGCTTTAGCTGCTTTTGCAAGAGCGCATTGCACAAAGCCAATCTCGGGTGAGACACTACTGCCTTTCACGTCTTGTCGCCTTATTGCTCTTAATAAAAATCCAGGCTTTCGCCCCATTGGGGTTTATGAAGTGATGCGCAGGCTTGTAGTCAAGGCACCGCACTAAATCTCTCGCTCACAGATACAGCACGCCTGCGTTAACACATTCGTGCATCACGCAATCTCTCACTGTTGTGGTCTAATTGATAAACTTAGTGGTTTCGCGGTATCAGAGCCACAGGCTGCGTATTCTGCGTTAGTACATGGGCTGCAAGGTGGTTGGAATTACTTACTTCGCACCACTGCAATAGCTTCCGAGTCACTTGAGCAGCTTGATATTCCTTTGGCAGGTGCTTTGCTCCGTGCCATTACCGGACAGTCGTCCTTTACGGACAATGAGGCTCGTAGTGAATGTTGAGCGTAATGCTTTTTCACCTTCAGTGTTTTCCGTGAATGGGGCCGCTGTGCCGGCATCCACGGCCTTCCTCAGGCGCCTTTGCCTGCTCACAACTCAATCTTTGGGAGGTAGGTATTCGTCGATGATGGGATACTATCGCTGTCGGGTGTCTTTTGCGCTGCTACGTTCCGCTATATTGTGTGTCCGGGGTGCTCGGTCGGCCCGTTACCGTCCAGTTAACATGCTTCGTGAGTTGGCGAAGGTGGTGGGTCGGGTTCCCCTGCCACACCCAACTCGGGTGGGTCATAAATATCAAAAATAAGTAAAGAAGGGGAAGCTTTGCGAAAAGGAATTGTACAAGCCGAAAGCCAAACTCCTACAGTACTCCTTATGAATGACGTAGTGATGGACTAGTTGACTACAAAACAAGTTGTTTCACACGACGTACGTTTCGCCGTATGGTTCGTGACGGCTCATCAGGTGTAAAATTTGAAACTCGGATGTTGAGCCAATAATAAAATGCAGAAAGGAAAAGGAAATATAGATACGAGTTAAGAGTCACTCTCCATCACTGTAACCAGATACTATATGCAGTCAGAAAGTGCAACAACTAGGCACAAAACTGACAGAGTACTGAGACATTCGACGTCCTCACACCTAGCTTCAACACATCTCCGTAGCGCTAACCGACAGCCTTCCCACTTGGAAGGTTCAAGGTTATGGAAAGACCAAAGAGGGGAAGGCAAGCGCAACGACAATGAGCACAAGCTACAGTCCCAACAGAACAAAGAATGTCGATTGTTACTGGACTATAATGAGACCAGTATGATATTTGACTTAGCGGTCTAACTCAACATCTTTTCAGTCCGTTCGCGTGGGGAGTGGAAGCAAACTTTTGAGCTCTGATAGTGATATCTTTTTCTGCAGAAACTGGCTAGAGTGCGTGTAGAATTGTTATAAAGATGTCTAGAATCTGTTCCATTCAGCTGAATGAAGGGTGGTCCTCGAAGGATCATGCCTTTTTCATCAGACTTCTTCTGTCAGGTGGTGTAAGACCTGATGATATCAAGCAGGTGGATCTGAGTGGAAAGCGCGGATTCTGTAGAGTTTCGTTTTCCTGCACTGCCGTTAGGGACGAGGTGTTGTCCAGAGGGTAAGAATTCGAAGGAAAACAACTAGTATTAGTAGTTGGTGATGGAGCAGTTGTGTCTGTGCATATATTTGGTGTGGCGGATGACACCCCACTGTCCGCCATTACGTCCGCGATGGAGAAATTTGGATCCGTCATTGGCGTTCCGAAGCGGGAAACAAAGGCTGTGGCAGGCTGCACCTTCACAACTGGTACTACATTCGTAAACTTAGTGCCAACAGCTATCGTACCCTCCACCATCATGTTGTCTGAGTCCCGTCAGAAACTGCTCGGTTGGCCCAGGGGTCAAGTTCCCACGTGCTACAAGTGTGGCTCCAGTACTCATATCACCAAACTCTGCACCCTCAACCAGGCCAGGCCAGGAGGCCCCGTCCGTACGCTGATGCAGCAGCCAGCGCGGTGAAGGGTACTCAGGGCCAGGCGCAGGGGCCACTGGATGACACAGTGGGGGCAAATTCGGAACCAACAGTGAGTACAAGCCAGTCAGCAAGCAGTACAGCTTCAGCACCTGAAACTGGGACACCTCAAGTTTCTTCACCTAGTCAGGAATCAGCCAAACCAGACCAGCTTAACAAGGAGCTGGGAACTGCTCACTGCCCTCCAGATGACAAGGAAGGCTTTACGGTGGCCAAGGGACGCAAAACCTTCAGAGTGCCAAAAAAACTTGATGACTTTTCAGGAAATGAGCTACTGACCGACTCGGACATGGAATAGGAGGACATGGGTAACAACGGGAGCAACGACCGGCATATGACAGTTGGCGAACTCACCATATCGTATTAGATCATGACCAGTGTAGCTTTCTTAAGTGTCTGTAGCCTTAGGAGAAAAGTAGCAGAAATTGAAGACTTTATCTCAACCCGTGGAGTATACATCCTAGGCGTTGCGGAAACTTGGCTGTCAGCCGATGTAACAGACGGAGAAGTAAACATTCCTCATTTCAGTGTGTTCCGCAAAGATCGGGAAGGCAGGCAAGGAGGTGGTGTTGCCTTCTACTGTCATACGTCCTTGCAAGTCCGTGGAAGACCTGACCTTGAGTGTGAGCTGGAGATGCTGTGGCTGGAGATTCTAGCCCCAGGTCGACCAGGCAAAGAGACGGTCTTACTGGGCTGCTGCTATCGACCACCTAATGAATCTGCGGGCTACTGGGATGGGCTGGAGTCAAACCTAGGGACTGCCTGCAGTGGACCGCAGACCAGAACTGTGCTAGTAGGAGACGTCAACGTAAACTTTAATGATGCCCACGCTGTGACTCCTTTGCATCATGTGCTCAACCAGTTTAACCTTCGCGCCCACGTCACATCTCCTACCCGAGTGACCAGCAGTACTGCCACACTACTGGATCTATTCTTGTCTACCACCCCGATCCAGGGTGGTTGCGAGACTATACATTTGGATATCAGTGACCACTCTGCAATACTTCCCAGGCTGCTAATTTCAGCAAGTCACCACTTGAAGGGACAGCATCTGCGCAAGACTCGCTGTTTGCACAAAGTGGATTGGAATATGTTTACATGTGACCTGGAGAAGACGCTAACTACCTGTGACTCTGTCTGTGTGGATGCGCTTTTTATACATTTGGATATCAGTGACCACTCTGCAATACTTGCCAGGCTGCCAATTTCAGCAAGTCACCGCTTGAAGGGACAGCATCTGCGCAAGACTCGCTGTTTGCACAAAGTGGATTGGAATATGTTTACATGTGACCTGGAGAAGACGCTAACTACCTGTGACTCCGTCTGTGTGGATGTGCTTGCGTCGTCACTCACTGCGGGAATTCAGACCACTCTAGATAAACATGCTCCACTTCGGGAACGGCGCCGCAAATCTCGACGTCCTTGCCCCTGGATTACAGATTAGTTAGTGGCAAGTGTTCGTGAACGGAACCGGGTGCATCGTCTTTGGCTCCGAGACAAAACCGATCAGAACCTTCAAGAAGCACACCGATCAGCTCGCTCCAAAGCACGGAAGTTGAACAGGAGTCTGCGCAACTTGTACTTCACTAAGAGATGTGAAACATCAGATCAACGGCAGCTTTGGGCTGTCATGAACGATGTCACAGGCCGACAGAAGACACGGAAAGAACCTGAAGCGCCTCTTGAGTCACTCAGTAAATTGTTTGGAGACATTGTGCATGACCCTATGCGGCCACCTGAGCTGCATATACCACATGGTCCAGCCTCTGCATCTAGCTTCTCAACATTTCAGCCGGTAAGCGTGTCTGATGTTGCACAATGCTTGCAAACTGTGAGTCCTCACAAAGCATCTGGGAGTGACGACATTCCTGGAATTGTACTGCAGCAGTGTTCAGACGTCCTGGCACCTCCATTTACCACCCTAGTCAATGCATCCTTGACATCAGGTACTGTGCCAGTGTGTTTTAAAACATCACACATTAGTCCACTGTTCAAGAGTGGCGATGCAACATCCCCTACTAACTATAGACCAGTGTCATTGCTCCCTATTCTGTCCCAGATTTTGGAGTTCTTTCTAAAGAAGCAACTCACAGGATACCTCACGCAACATAGCATATTACCTAGCAGTCAGTTTGCCTACAGGATAATGCACTCTACCTAAGATGCATTAGTTCTAGCCGCCAACCGTTGGCTGTTGGCCAAACAAGAGCGAAAATACACAGTTATTGTGATGATTGACATGTTGCTTTTTTCTACAAAATCCACATATCTCCAGAACAATCCACAGCTACCTGATGAATTGAGCAGTCCCTGAGGGAAATCATCCAGCAAATTATATTTGAAGGTCGCGAGACGCGAGTCGCACTGGCAGGAGATCTACACGCGTATTGTGAAATTATTTTCTAAGGCCCAACCATTGATTCAAGAGCGGACTTCGTTCTCTTCTTTCTGGAAGTGCGAATACCAGTCGACATTGAATTCTTTCTCTTTCTGCGAGTACTGCCTTCCCCTTCAATAGATAAGAAAGAACGAGTGAAGAGGGACACGAGCAGCAGGTTCTAAGTAGGTCGCCAGAAATTTGGCATAAAAGCGGGAAGATATTTCCCACAACGATTGATTGCCCAAACATCAACCCTACCGAAAAATGTACTGAAAATCTACACTTGTCAAAAGATGCGCGCGCAGAGGGTGGGAGCCAACTTGAATCCTACTTATGGAGCAGCACAAGTTCTACATCTTCTCCATGATAAACCTATATTGTCGACATAAGTTTTTTTATTTTGAAAAGTCTAGACTTCGATTTTTTTTCAAGTTCATGACAATTCTATGTCTCAATTTTAGGGAAATCTCTAACTCCCTATCCACTGATGGTTCTGGCCTAAGCTGATAAAAGAAAATTGGCATGTTATCATAAATGAAAGGCGTCCATTTGATTTCAACTAACTCTCCAGCACATTGGTTCCACCCCATTACCTAGTGTGTTCTTATCTTTGCATATAACGACGGATTGATAATCACAGGTTGCCGTCTCAGGGTAACATCCAGTTGCTAGGTAAGCAGTCACCGTTCTCCCTAGCAATAGTTCCATGTGTGCTCGGTAGGCCTGGAAACACTCATTGATGTCGTTAGTAGTAATTAACTTTAAAGTCACTGTGATGTCTGTGCACGTTTTGCTGGCTACAGTAGAGGACGCAACAGACCATGAACTGTCGCTGATCAAGTATTCACCATTGGTAGTGTTGCAGTTGAATTCAGCTGCATGAGCAGAATATACACAGTGAGAAAGTAATTTGGCGTTACAACAGCGTTCTGCATTAAAATTATTCCCGTAGCTATGGCGCTAGTCAGGGTCCACACGACGTTAATTATAAGTAAGTGGATGGCGGGGAGGGCCTTATGGCTTGTTAGTTGTCGACAGGTTAGCCTGAGGGCCGTGGGTTCGAGGGCTAACCTGAATTTCATTGACTTATGCCTGTGTACCCTTATATTGGGTAGTTGTGTTGTTTGTGGGCAGAGAGATTTATTGTGGCATGATAGAACATTTTCTTCTGGCAACTCAACAGCACTGAGGTTTAATAAAATGAGAAAATAAGCAAAGGAAATTATGAGCTCTTATTGTGAGCTTCATTCATATTCTTAGCTTCTGGAGCGGTTTACGGGCTTCGAGAAAAATCGTTTAGGAGACATGACTGTTGTGAACCCTCTGGAACGAACGACCCCACACGTCACGAGGACTACTATTTATTCTCAACAGTATATTTCAATTCATCGAATAATTAACAATGAACACTAATACCACCAGCTATTTATAGCATGCAAAACAGCGTACATGCAAAACATACGCATATAACATACGCATTATATAACGGGAAATAACAGCGTATACAGCAAAACACACACAGCGCATATAGCGTATGCCATGCAGCAACATCAGAGGTAGGGCGGAGTCGAAATACAACATTGCAACGAATACAATGCCATAAGCGCGAAGGCCTTTCCCACTTGAGAACTGGTGGTTTGCAACATTCTTCCCACCAAAGGGCTTCTCACCGCCGTACAGCAATGCACACAAGTCAAAAACGATCTGGGGCTCTGACTACGCGCCCAGAACGCGTCATCTCCTGCTGCCGTGGTGGTGGTAACGGTGCTGACGGTTCATACGCTGGCTGCTGAGGAACGATAGCAGGTTGAGCGGCATCGGCAAGCCCAGGAGCCACGTCCTGTGACGATACTTCTAATGGCACTAATCTCTGGATTGGCCTCAACAGGGTACTGGTATTCAACTTAACCTTGGCAACACGACGCTTACCATCTCAACCAGGGAATAACTCGATGATCCGTCCCAAACGCCAGAACTGCTTGCGCTTGGTATCATCGAGAACAAAGACACCATCACCCACAGCTAAAGGGCGTGACATGGTCTGTTGGTGCTTGTTCAGCTGACTTAGGTACTCCACCTCCCAACGATTCTTGACATGCTTCAGTGTCCGACTGAGGTAACGCAATCTCGCTGATATCTGCGTAGCGTCCGGGGTACCTGCTGGCTTCTCTGACGACATCCAGATGTTACCCATCATCATTGCAGGGGTTACTGGTGGCTCATCCAGGCTATCAGACACATAAGTTAGCGGACGACTATTCACCACTGCTTCAACCTCATACAAGAGGGTCTCAAGCTCCTGGCCCTTCAGAAACGCTGTTCCCATTTCCTTTTTCAAGGCACTCTTCACTGTACCAACCATTTGCTCATAGAAGCCTCCATGCCATGGTTCAGCTGCAGGATTGAACATCCATGGCACGCTCAGTTTGTCAGATGCCACCTTGAACGTTGTAGCGTTGTAAGACCTGATCCGAGACGGCAAACTACGTCTCGCGACAAACTTCCGAAATGCTATCAAGAATGACTCAGTACTTAAACTTTCGACCACCTCCAACTGCTCTGGTGGTGGCACACACAAACAATGCTATCCATACCTTCGGAGATGACTCACCGCGGCGCACGTACAACGGACCAGCATAGTCGATGCCAGTAGTTGCGAACGGCCTCTCGTGAACAACTCGGTCTTCTGGCAGCGGCGGGCAGACTTTTGAGGCAGCTTTAGCCTTGTAGTGGCGGCATGTAACACATCGCTGAGTAATGTTGCGTAGCGCTCGTCCACCACCGATAATCCAGAATTTCTGACGAATGAACGACAAGACTCCTTCTACACCTTGGTGCATCCTTTCATCATGCATTTTCTCCAACAGCAACTCGGTCGGATGATGTTTGCCTAACAGGACTGGGTGCTTGGCCCCATACGCCAACTCGCTGTGCTGAAGTCGTCCCCCGGTTCTGAGCACTCCATGCTCATCCAGAAACGGTGCAAGCTGATACACCTTCGACCCAGGCTTCACTGGTTGACCTGGCTTGATCAGCTCAAGATCCTCAGCGAAACATGCGGCTTGAACGATGCGGTACAATACGTTGTCTGCTGCAAAATAGAGTTCAGCACGAGGCTCAGTGTGCTTCCACTGCAACATCCGAGTCACCATGCCCTGTGCCCTCGACCACTTACTGAATCGGAGCCACCATTCCTTATCAGATTCTCGACGACAGGTGGTGGCTGACACTCGTACTTTCACACTTGACTCATCTGTAGCTGCGGTTGAGGATGTGGTGGGCCAGTCATTGGGCTCCGTGATCCAGGTTGGTCTGCCCCTCCAGAACGACTACGGATCTGCTGTGCACTACTCTCACGCGACAGTAAATCTGCTGGGTTGTGAAATCCCGGGCAATGGTTCCACACAATGCCGACCTTCTTCGATATCTCTTGGACTTGACTGACGCGGTTAGCCACAAATGTTTTCGATTTGTACGATGGATTACTGATCCAATGAACGGCAGTGAGACTGTCAGTCCAGCCATAAACTTGCGTGACGGTCACACGCAGCTCCTTCACCACAAACTCAGCGTAGCGAGCCGCTAGACATACTGCTTGTAACTCAAGGCGGGCTAACGTGGGCGGAGACATGGGTGCCACTTTGGCCTTGGCAAATACCAAGTGCGACTGTCCATTGACGACTGCATACAAACAACATCCAAACGCTTTCTCACTGGCATCGGCGAAGGCATGAAGCGCAATCGGCGTGCCAAGATTGCAGCAAATCCAACGTAGTATGTCAATGCTCACCACTTCGCCCAACTCTCCCCACCATTGCGCACATGCGGCTGCGATGCCATCAGGCAACTTATCATCCCAGTCGCCTCCGACTTTCCAGGCTTGCTGTAGCAGTATCTTTCCCGGCACAACTGCCGGTGCTGCTAGACCTAGCGGATCAAACACTGACGCAACACACTTGAGGAGGGATCCGGTTCTGTAAAGGAACAATAAGTCAAACAAATATACCGTGGCACAAACTATGACACTATGGACATCCAGGTGCAAACAAACACAAGAAGCTGCTACTCGAACAATTTCAAACTAATAATGCTGTCTTATTGATCACACATATTAGGCGTATGAATACGTTGAAAAACAGCTTCTAACACGCTCAATTGCAACTGATAATCATTAAGAGCACTGCACAAAACAGAAAAAGAAGAATCAGAATAAACCCTGCAACAATCAGGACAAGATACAAGATGCTTATACACTGATGATTTCCTACGAGCAAACACGCGCTCCCACTCACACGTACTCACACAACCATTCTCGCTCTCACACTCACCGAACTCACTGGCCGCATCTTCCTCGACGACGTCCTGCTTCAGATTAATCAAGTCCCGTCTTGAAGTCAATCATTGTTTGGACAGCGTTACTAGCAACACTCACTCATCGCCTGAAGGTGTTCAGGATTGGAGAAGTACATCGGCAGAAGGTCCTGGTCTTTCTCTGGTGGTGCATATATGTAGGACTCAGTATAGAGTCCATGCACTATATGATGTCCAGCACCCTATATAGAGTCCATTGGTCCAAAATTCACTATACAGAGTCCAGGAGTCCACTCAGTTTTGATCAGCTTCATCCTGCCGCGCAATCCCCTTTAAGGAGTACACTTTTTCTACAAGTCCCCTATTCACGGTCCAGGAGTCCAGTTTATCCAGTCACGCCGTCCTGTGTGTTGTGCCCCGAAATAGAACACATTTTAAAAAAATGTCAGTTTTGCTTGCCTCGTGGCAGCGCATTCCTTTCTTCACTTCAGCCATGGCTGCCAATTCTGCTGTGCAGTTGCTGACAGTAATCTGTCTCGAGCTAACCAAGGAGGATAAGGAAACGTTCAAAATCAAATCTGGAAAGCGTCCTGTGGTTCTCTGAAGACGTTTCATCAGTGCGCGGGGTGAAAGCAGAAATTGCAGAACGAGAAAAGTTCAGCACAGTTCAAATCTGACGAGTCAGGTACACTGACGCTCTCTTTCGTTCGACGCCACAAGGATCCCCTGTTTGGCTGGCCATTGCTGCCAGTAAGACGTTTGAACGGTTTCAACAGAGCGAGGGATGAAAGCAGAAAGCGGAGAAAGAGAAATGTTCAGCACAGTTGCAATCTGACGAGTCAGATACACTGACACTCTCTTTCGTTCGACGCCACAAGGATACCCCTGTTTGACTGGACAAGAGCTGCCTGTACCACCGTGTCAAAAGGCTGTCCAACTACATGGCAGGACGATGACTGAGGTAAGGAAGCTTTTACTCGCTTCGATTGGTCTGCTGTTCTGTCGTTATGCTTGAATTTTTTTCTATTTTCAAGGAGCGTATCGCGTTTGTTTGATGTTGCTTGAATGAATGCCCTAAAAGTAATCAACCACTTCGTAATAGTCCTCAAGGACTGCAAGGACTTTGCATCAATCATATATGATCGTCTAGCTATCATCAATTTTTATTTCATGAGAAATGTATTTTTATCCCTGTGATAATTATGTGAACTCCACGACACTCTTCCTGTAGTATGATGTCGAATACAATGGGATCCACAAACGCAGTGCCAGTGTACTAGTAGTAGTAGGACTAGGAGGATTGCTTGTATGCCAATGACAAGAAAAAGCTTCTCAAGCTAATACTCGTATTCCCTGAAGTAACCGTTTTGATGTCACGAACATGACATTGTGTCAGTGGAACTGCCTCGTGACAACAAATCATTGCATTTCCATTCTGGGGAAGACTGACTGACAGCAACGCTGTACAGATTGTTCAAATCATCTCATTTCAATTTAGTTGCAGTGAAGTGAAACACTGTGTACACTACATGTATGTTGGTGTGTCTGTGCGTTTTGAGTGTGC